ATAAACAAATATAAAATAAATATTCAATCAACAATAGGAATAGCAAAGAGGTACTCCCTGTCACGCGGTTGACACCTTATGTGCGTTTGTGGTATAAATGAATGGAGCATTAAACACGTGCTCTTTTGTTCTTTTCTGCATGATTGGACAACACGGTCCTCAGTAATCTCTATAATCTATACTATTATTATTATTTTATAAATGCATAATATTTTAAAACTATAAAAATCAATTAATAATTTTCATTTAACAATTAACAAACCTATTTAAAAGCAACCATTCTTTTTTTATTTATGAGTTTAATTTTGATAATAAATTGTATATTCATTAATTCTGTAAAGAATTTTTATATTTTTATAAAATAAATAATTTTAAAATAATTAATTTTTATATATTAAATGTGAACTAACGAATTTATGAATTATTTTTAATGAAAGTGTATTATGAATTTTTTTAATTCACTTTTTTATTTAACATGTTTACTTATAAATAATAATTTATGTAATAATATAAATTATTTATCTTAAATCTAAAATATAATTTATATCTTTAAATATAATTCATCATACATTTTAGTTATATATAACAAATATTTAATATATAAAATATACATCCTAAAATTTTATTATAAAAGTCAATCAACTTCTCTCTTTAAAAAACGAATAAATGAAAATTAGTCAACTCAACATTTATAATAATGGACTATATAGACTATTATAATAAATAAGATCAACAATATAAAATTATTTATACAGCATAAAATTAAACAATAATGTTTAATAATTATGTTTGTAGAAACTTTATACCAATTAATAAAAATTATTATAAAAAGGTAGTTAATATGAAAATTTATATTTTCTAAAATTGGATAATATTCAACGTATTTAAAGCAAATTCTCTATTTAATAACTATTTGGAGTTGATAATGCCATTTTGCTTCGTTATAATCCTATTTTTAAAAGAAGAATTTTTAGAACCCCGTTATTGTTGCCGAGAAAGGTATAAAAGCCCGTTATTTTAATCATACACTCATTGGCCTTTGTACTCATCCCCTTCCTTTATCATTATTATATCCCTAGATTTTTGTTTGTTGAATATTAATATATATCTGTATCCTAGATTGTTATTTAGTGTGCTCTACAAACAGAGGCTGTGTTACAAATTTTTGAAGTCACTGTTGCTGTTCTGCATTTTTTTCTCTCATAGATATGGAAGACAATTCCGGCGTGGAAGATTGTTACTACCCTCTTCCTGCTTCTGCTGCAAAAGCTGATCCCAATCACAGTGATGGTGAAAAAGAAGAAACTTGTGCAGAGGAAGGTTGCTCTCACAGCTCAACCAAGCCTGGCCTCAACAAATATGCACTTGGCGGTGCTATTTTGGCTTCCACAAACTCCATTCTCTTAGGATATGGTGAGTTTCACAAAATCCTGTTTTGAAGAATTTCATGCCCAGTGGATGGATAATGAATAATCTATTGCCACAGTTTTCCAGATCAAATCCCCTTCAAATGGGAATGTCCCAGAGCTTCAAAAGTCAAAACTTTGATACAATTTTTTAAGTGTCTTTTAGTTTGCTTCATCGATTAAAATTGAAGTTTTATCGCAATGATATGCTTAACAAAGGTTCAATTGCATTATATCAACATAGAGTATGGAGGTGAAACTTTTATTTTGATTGAAGATCAACACCAAAGAAAGTTCTTAAGGAACTATAATCAATTTCTTCTTTTCTGCATCCCAAACCCAGATAAAATTGAGAAATTTTGATAACAAGTTCTCAAGTGCTTTTAGTGTTGTTTTTCGGAATTGAAGTTTTATCTTAATCATGTGCTTAATAAAGGTTCAATTGCATTGTGTATCAACACAAATTATTAAGGTGAGACTTCAGTTTTGATTGACGAACAATTGCATTGTTTATCAAAATAGAGTACTAATGTGAAACTTCAATTTTGATTGAAAAGGGACTATATTCAAGTTTTTCTGCATCCTAAACCCAGATAAAATTGAGAAACTTTGATAGCAAGTTTTATGATTGTTGACGCAATTATGTAAGGTTTCGTAACTTTATCTTGTATTGTGTGTGTGCAGATATTGGGGTCATGAGTGGTGCTTCTCTTTTTATAAGGCAAGATATGAAGATCTCATCGGTTCAAGTGGAAATCCTTGTTGGGTGTTTGAATGTGTGTTCCCTGATTGGGTCTCTTGCTTCAGGCAAGACCTCTGATTGGATTGGAAGGAGGTACACCATAATCGTTGCTGCAGCCACATTTCTGATTGGTGCTATTCTGATGGGTTTGGCGCCTTCATTCCCAGTCCTTATGGCAGGTCGTGTGGTTGCAGGCATTGGTGTTGGTTACTCCCTCATGATTTCCCCAGTGTATGTGGCTGAGCTCTCTCCTGCTCTCACAAGAGGCTTCCTCACATCACTCCCTGAAGTCTTCATCAGCGTTGGCATTCTCCTTGGCTATGTCTCCAACTATGCCTTTTCAGGCTTTCCAAATGACATAAACTGGAGACTCATGCTTGGTGTTGCAGCCTTTCCAGCAGTGGCAGTGGCACTTGGTGTGCTAGCAATGCCCGAGTCACCAAGGTGGCTTGTGGTGAAGGGAAGGTTTGAGGAAGCCAAGCATGTTTTGATTAGAACATCAGAGAACAAAGGTGAAGCTGAGTTGAGGCTTGCTGAGATACAAGAAGCTGCTTCTGTTTCTGCTTCAATCAGAAACAAGGACAAAGCAGGTTCTTCTTCTCATTCAGGAATGTGGCATGGGCAAGGGGTTTGGAAGGAGTTGCTTGTTACACCTACTAGGCCTGTGTTTAGAATCCTTGTGGCTGCTATTGGTGTTAACTTCTTCATGCAGGCTTCTGGGAATGATGCTGTGATATATTATAGTCCTGAAGTGTTTAAGCAAGCAGGAATTGAGGGTGAGAAGCAGCTTGTGGGGGTTACAATCATCATGGGAATTGCCAAGACTTGCTTTGTTCTGATATCAGCCTTGTTCTTGGACCGGTTTGGGAGGAGGCCCATGTTGTTGTTGGGCTCAGGTGGCATGGCAATCTCATTGTTTGTGCTGGGCTTGGGCTGCACCTTGCTTGAGTTTTCTGGTGATAACAAGGATGGATGGGTCATTGTTTTGTGTGTGGTTGCTGTGTGTGCTACAGTGTCATTCTTCTCAATTGGGCTTGGGCCCACCACTTGGGTCTACTCTTCAGAGATTTTCCCTCTGAGGCTTAGGGCCCAAGGTTCAAGCTTGGCCATTTCTGTGAACCGTTTGGTGAGTGGGGTTGTAACCATGACATTCCTTAGTGTCTCAGAGGCAATAACATTTGGGGGCATGTTCTTTCTGCTTGGTGGGGTGATGGTGTGTGCCACACTTTTCTTTTATTGCTTTTTGCCTGAGACCAAAGGCAAGAGCTTAGAGGAAATTGAATCTTTGTTTGAAGATCAGCCACGTTTAGTCTGAGACTAAGTTTTAGATTAAAGCGTTGATCTTTGTTTGAAGATCAAGGCTTTAGAAGTAGAAGAAAAATGGTGCCGTTGTCCAAGAGATTATTCATTTTTTGTTTTGCGAATTAAGGTACATAGTCGTTGATACATTGGATAGATTATAGATAGATTAGTGCAAAATTAGGCATACCCTGAAATTATTCTCTCCCAGGAAAAATTGTTTGGAAATTGGAGCTTGAGCTTCCCTGTTTCATTGGACATTTTATTTATTGAGGTATATGATTGTTTACACCGTGAGTGTATGTCCACAAAGCATATAATATATTTTGTTACTTCCAATATTAATGATGTGTTTTATGTCACTTCAGAGAGGGAGAGAGTGACTCTTCATGGATATCCTGCAGTATGAGAATGAATGAGAGGGCATACACATCAAAATTAGCATCAACCTACAGCAAGGTGAGACCAGATTCACCACAATCAGAAATTGAATGCTTCCTTGCTAGGTCACACGGAGAAATTATTGACATTTTGTTGAGTGATGACTCCTTAAGAGGCAAACAAATCCAGATGAACCATTACTCAGATATAATATCTGATCCATAACCTGATTTCTATTTTATGTGAACAATGCCATGAACCAGGCTCCAATCTCACGGACCGTGTCACGGGTGTATTTGTACCAATCAACATTGGTACTTGACATGATCTAAAGAAAGCCTTCATAAGTGCAGATGGAAAATAGACAAAACAAAAACATAGACACATCAAAATTTATCAAGGACAGAATCTATTTTTTTTCTTCTTTCTTTTAAGTAAAACTGAATGTCTCTAAATCACAAAGTTGTTGTCAGAAAATGAATGTCTCTCGATGAATATAAAATAGGTTGTGGTTGAGAGTGCCATGTGTGTAATGAATGAAGCGTATCCGTGAGTATTAAGCACGAGTGTATTTAGACTATAGACTAACATTAACATAATGTTCCTTATTTCCCGTGATGCAGACAGGTTCCCAACTCTATAGACGCGTGGCCCATTTCCATTAATGTTCAAACTTGGCTTGTAGGCTAGCCTCTCTGTTACCACCCTTGTCAGATTTTGATGTGTTGTTGCTTAGTCTTGGTCAAATCCTGGCCCAGTAAAGTGGCCAAATCTCTTTTTCAATTATCTTCCATTATTAACTGTTGTAGATAATTGGCTACGTAGCTGGCCGGTATTTTACTATGTATAGCACTACAATCAGTCATATGTTGTTTTTATTTTCTATCAATAGAAGATAGACCTATCTATACTTCGCTTGGTAATCATGCAAATCGATCAAGTCACCATGTTCCATCATAAAAATTTATGAACAACTCGACAATTCATATAACACTTTATATAATATCAATTTATGTGTCTCTATAACATGATGAGATGATGTAGTGATTAAACACTCTACATTATTGTAAAATCAATCTATTTACTAAGGATCTCGATCTCGGCTTATATGAACTTTTTTTGAATTAGAAATAATTATAATACTGTAAATGAGATTAGTTTAAAATTAAAATTTTCTTTGTCTTATCTATTCTCATCACACCATTTATTATATTTAAGATTTCTTTATCTTTCCCCTCTTCTCTCTCTTGATTATACATGTATTATTTTTTGAAATTTATGTATGCCTTTTCTAGGATAGAGATTCTATCACCGTCTCAAAACAGTCGAAACCAAAAGCTTGCCAATATCGATAAATGGAAAATTTTTCAATAAGAGGCAAACTAAGAACAACCTGTCTTAGCATGAAATAAGAGGTAAGGACAAAATATCAAATGGGACCTGAATCAAACCCTGTGCTACTTGTTGCGTTGAAAAATATCTATTAGGAGATTGTGGGTCCAAATTCTGTAAAATAGCTGTAGTACCATTAATCAAATATGCAAGACAATGCATGTCCAAGGATGGAAAATAAACAAGCAGGAGAATGGCCTTATTGTCAACGCCGTTCATCAAATCCATGACAGTAAGTTAACAAGAAGATGCTTAGCAACAAAATTGAGACTCAGAAGAACGTGCCATTTTGTTTTGACCTCATCAAATATTTTATTATAACATCCTTAATCTTTGACGTGTAAGATAGAAAATCATTATATTATAGCTTCTCAAAGGGTGATTATATTTATACATATATACGTATGAGCAATTAAAAAACTTTCAATGATTTGGAAAATAAAAAGGTGGTGTTTTGGTCGTGACTCGTGAGTCAAAGCGCTTATTAAATGAAAACAAATTTTCTGTTTGTCTAATTTTTTTTGTCATTGGTTGGCTTGGCCTAATGAGCATAACTAAAGATGTCAAACATCATGTCTGACAGTAATATAAAGATTTACAGGGGTGTAGCAACTGAATAACTAGGTTCTGATTTCTAAATGCTACCTGTGAAACAGTGATTTCATAAAGACAAGAGAAAAAATAAATGGAAAAAGAGTAACAGTTCATATGCAGTGGTTCAGCACCGAAGATAATTGATTTTGACCTGACTATGTACCCAAAGAAACGTCCTAGGCCACACCCGCACGCACCCTTATTTCTTCCATTATTACAATTTCAACTCCTCCATAGTCCACACAACTACTTGCTTCAACAAATAAAGATTAGACACTTGGTAAAGAACCGACTGATATCTTACTTTTTTAATAAATAATTTGTAAGTATTTTTATAATTTTTTTTGAAGTCTTGAAGTCTACCTTGATCCGATTAACTTTTAAGATTTGGTTCTCTTAAACCTTTTTTTAGTTAAACAAAATAAAATCTACTTGCTTCAATGTGTGTATGTAAACACCCACATGACCACCACATGGAAGAACAACCAACCCATACCAACATTAATCCTCGTTGATCTTTATGAATAATAGCCTTGGGCAATCAGAAAGCCAAAAAACAAGAAAAAAGTATATTTTCCTTTCTAAAAGTTAAAATTTCTTAACAAAACGTCAAAACCAAGGAAATATTATTTGTATGCAGATACATGTGTATACTAAAAGATACGAAAATAATAATGAGTTGCATTATTTTTTATCTCTCTGCTAATTATTGAAAAAAGCTATAAAAAATACGCATAGGAATAGAGCTTCTTGGAGTAATGTCTTTTTATGAGTTGCTCGTAAAACACTTGAAATTGACCTGATATACACTGCAGTGAAAATACATTGGTGTACTTGACATGTGAGGTCATTGTACAGTCACGTGTATTAAGTTACAGACCTTTCAAGAAAGCAATCTGCACGCATAAAAAAAATTTGTACTCAAGTTACCCTTTTCTTTCTCTTCTGTTCCAACTTGAGCAGTATCCAACTTGTCTAAACTCTAAACTAGTGCTAGTTAATTAAATGTAGCACAAGTACTAATTTGAATACATTTTTTTTCTTCTTCTGAAATTAGGTATCACATAGAGACAAGATTAAGTGCATGTTTGGATTAGAATTACATAGTTAAGTGGAATTAAACTTAACTTTCTAAACTAACGATAAGAGAAAATAATAGTTTTCTTACTTTTGGTTTAACTGAGATTTCCTTACGATTCACACTCAACATTATGAAAGAAAAAAAAAGAAGCTAAACATATAAGTGTTATGTTCGAGATCACCTAACTGTAATTACAAGAAATAAATATGTGATCAAACGTAACCTAATTTACTGAGAAACTAATATTTATCAAGTAGTTAACATCTTCTAACATATTTTATTCAATACATACAGATTTGAAAATTGAACTTCTGATTATTTGCTTAGACTTGATTATCTTGCAACCATTGTAAACCATATTAGTTACTTGAATATGTGTATGAAGCACGGTGAAATAAGACAAACAGTGAAGTGATTAGTGATTATGATTAGGAGAAAAGATGGCATAAAATGTAGGAAGAGAACCGTTGAGGAAAGGCCCAATTCAACAACCACCATCCCCTTTCATTTTCCCAAGGAGGCTACATACCAACTCCACCATCAAAAGTAAAGGCAACGAAACTTGCAAAACTTATTTATAATGAAAAAGTGTCACTATCTTCCAAGTTTGGAGGTTGTGGGGTCCCGTTAGGAAGCAGAAAGAAAAATGGGACAACACGAGAGTGTGAAGAAGACAAAGGCGAACAACAAAAGCAAAGGAAGATAAGGGAAATTCCAATTCCATTGATCTTATTCCAAAAGGAAAAACTAAAGTCTCTTTAATGGCTCCTCTCCATCTGCCAACTTTATAGAGAAACCTTCACTCAGATCATCACCTAAAAAGAGATACATTTACACATTCTCACAAGCTAGATCCTTTATCTGCATTCAAAGGTAACAATACCAACCACAAAATCTCATTTATAGTTAATAATATACAAGTAGTAGTACTATTACTACTCTCATTGCCATCACCAATGTTGCTAAGTTCCATTTCAAGCACCAAGAAGTTCTTCCAAAAGACTATAAAGAACTTCAAGTCTTTCTTCTCACCAGGCTACCAAAGGCTTCCAAAAGCTTCTCCACACACTCCTCATTTCTCTTATTCTGTGGCTGCATCAAGTGCCATGGACATGACCAGCAACACAAGTTATCAAGAAATGGAGAAGTTGTACACTGATTTCTCTGACCAATGGGAGTCAGAAAATGAGAAAACAAGGAGAAGAAGAATCAAGAAGAAAGCTACACTGCCATCAAAGCAAGAAAGTAGTGAGGTCTACAGTGGAAGCTACATTAGCTTGTCCAATGCAAGCCATGCTCAGAAGAAGAACAAGGTGGAGAAAAAAGTGGAAGGTGACAACAACAACAACAACCACCAAAACAAGAAGAGCAACTTCAGTCTTCAAAAGGGTAGGCAGAAAGAGTCACCACCATTCATGTCTATAGGTATGAGAGAACACAGTCATAGATACTGCATGGTGGAACAGAAGCTGAGGGAGTTGGAGATGTTGGACATGAACAATGTGGAATATGTGTTGGACATTGAAGAGGTTCTTCATTACTATTCTAGACTCACTTGTCCTGCATATCTTGAAATTGTGGATAAATTCTTCTTGGAAATGTACTCAGAGTTGTTTGGTCCATCGTCTGTGTGGCATGCTTCACCTCGCAGTGTTAACTCTAGGCTCAAGCTGAGATATCAGTGAGTGAGAACTGAGAGGCCTTAGGTTGGTTTGGCTTTGTCTTGTTTCTTAACTTCTTAATATCCTCTAAACATCATTTGACTCTTTCTTGATCGAGTTGAGTCTTTGTGTTTATTGACCTTAAGTTTCATGGATGGTAATAGTTGTTTGTGTTTTGTGTGTTTAAATAATTCAAAGATTTATTTATCTTGTTCAATTATTTCATTGACCTTGTAATCAAATGTTTTGTTCAGAAAATAGTTCAGGAATCAGAATGCTTTCTGGAAATTGCTGTGTTTCAGAAAATGCAAGGTAGTGTCTCTTGAAACTGAAACATCGAGTGCTTTTATCTGCTGAATGTGGGAATGGTTACAATGGTTATAGGAGCTCGATTTGGGTAAGAATGTTGGATATTATAGGAGGAAAATTGTTTTTACGGTTATTTAACACAATTGTATACATAAATTTTAAACTCTAGATTATTAGATAAGTTATAAAATCAAATGTCAATGGAATACTATCAATGAATGTTGTTTATACAACAGAAAAGAAAAAACAAAAGATTAAGATGCAATAAACATATTTTGCTGTATAAATACACATTTATTACTTTGAATATATGTTTGTTATTTCTAAATATGGAAATTTCATATTCTGGCCTGATATTTTTAAAATTTTATGGTTTGTTTGTTATTTTTTCTTCATATAGTCCTCTTTGTATCATTTTAGTTAAAATTTGTTGTTATCTTTAATTTACAGAGTCCTACGCGGAGGGTAAGCATTCTGGGTAAATTTAATCAACATTGACGTAATTATAAGACTAAAAGTTGAGAGATTAAAAAAATCACTATATTTAAAGTTACTTAAGCAACAAATAATTATATTTAGATGAAATAAATACACCTTCAATTTACATCACAAGCACATGGAGCTTTCAAAGAGTTTACTCTTTGTAGATAGTTTTCTTCGAAAGAAACTCTACCTTTGGACACAATTTTCTTCAACTCCGAACCTCACATTTAAGCAATTCATTGACCCAAAATCTATTACTTTGGCTGACGGTGATCATGTTCAAGGTTGAGTAGAGGTGGTGGTTTCAAGGATTTTGAGGCAAAGGCAAAGGCAAAACTAACATAATACGGTATGATATGATTTATATATAATTTTGCTTCTAATACATAAGTTTGATATTTGATTGGTATGTATAGAAAAATATTTATTAAGAGATCTTGTATTTTTTTTAAAATAATTTTAATAAAAACCCATGATTAATCATTAGGGCAGATTTACCACTAAAGAAGGTCTTGAAAGAAACTCACTACAAAACGAAAAAAAGGAAACGAGAGAGGAAATAGAGTGCATTGTGGTTCATAATAGAAGTGGTTGAAGCATGAAATTGTAGTCTATAATTCTTTTAAAAAATGGCAATAAAGAATACAATTGTAAGTGTAAGGTTATATACTTTTGCCAATAAAATTGTCTATATATTGTTCTGTTTTGTATTTCAATTGAAAATCCTGTCACGTATCTTAGTTATTGGTAATTTTATATCTTCGGGTATGAAATCCGTGCAGAAGTATTTATATTGGTCACGAAGTACTTACAACAACATCTAAATTCGTATACTCTAAGTAAAATGTGTTGTAATAAGTTTTACATAGAGAATGAAGATCAGCCTATATGCACACATCAAAAGTTATATTTGAAATAATTTATCAATAATTGATTTGTATTTATATTATTGGATAAGTGTTTATGAGAGTGTTTAGACAAATTTATAAAATATCTTATAAATATTCCATATCTCATGACATGTTTTGAGTTTTATTTGGTATAATTTATTACTTAGCTTTTATTAGAACTTATAAGAAAATTCCCTTTAAAAGCTTTTGTTCCTCTTTATATTTTTTTCTTTTCCGACAAAGTTTTTTTTTTAATATATATATTTCTTCCTCCAAAATCCACAATATTTTATTATAAAAAAACTCGTAACTTTTTTCTATTAAAATAGAAAATTTGAAATAATTTTTTATTAGTATTTATATAATAATTTTTAATCGTGATTTTATAAAATATATATAATTAATTTTAAATTTTTAAAATTTATGGTTCTTAATTTTTATTAATAATTTTATTTTTTTATAAACTAAAATTAGGAGAATGGTGAATAATAATTTTATTATTATTTTTAATATAATTGTGATGTATAATATCATTTTTAAAATTATTTAGTTACTTTTATAATTTATTTATTTTTTAGTTAAATTTAATTTATAACTTTTTAATTTTTAAAGTGAGATAACATTTTATAAATACTTAAATAATGATAGATGTAAATACTTTATAATTGTATAAGTGATTCTTAATATGTATATTTAAATGTAACAACTAATCTTCTTTGAGACTTTGATAGGCAACTCATCCCAACTTGAAATTTTTTTTTTGCATTCTCAAGTCAAGAAATAGGATTTAATCCCTGGCCATTTGATTAAATGTCATGAATCTTTTATCACTCACATTAACTCAAGTCGGTAAGTATATTTTACATTAATATGATTTCTTTATTTTAGTCGAGCATTGATATTTTTAAGGATGTGATTGAATTGCTTTATTTTAAAAAATAATTACTTTTTATATTTTCGTATATAAAAAGCTTTAAAAACTTATTATATCCTAAAAAGAAAGTTTCAAGCACCCACTTTTTTTGGTTGTTGTTGTAAAACACCTGCTTATATATTGTATTAACTTTGAAGAAAAATGTATATAATATACTACTTTCTAATATATTATTAGAGACACTCTATTGACTATATTATTATTGGAACTTATATAATTATGTGAGACACATTAAATAGGAAGAGAAATCTATATGATTTTGTGAATCTCAATAAATTTCTAAAAAAATAAAAAGAAAAACTGTTAGCAAATATATTACTAATATATATTTTTGTTAATGTTGCTAACGTTGATCTTACAACTAATTGTACATAAGGATCACCTCACAAATGAGACAATAATGAAAAGGGATGTGGAAATAATACGGGCCAAGTGGATTCTGTAGTGCATTGAAATAACATGGGCCGAAAGCCTTCTGTAGTACTTAACGACCTAATTTCAAGCCCATGAATCGAATGCTACTTTTGAAGCCCGATCCTCTATTTTTGTTTTTTTTACTCACCAAAGGTAACACTGCTTAGAGAATACAACCAAATTGTAAGCTTAAGTAACTTTTGCCAACAACTGATTATCTTTCTTATGTGTATAGAAAATGCTATTACATATTTATTAGTTTTTTGTATCTTATAACTTGTTTTGTAGGGATCATAAGGAGATTTCAAATTTTCTGGCATAAAAGCCATTCACAAACATTTATTTTAGTTTTATATATATATATATATATATATGTATATGTATATATTGATACTTGTGTGATTTAGGTGGAAAGAAGACTAGAGGTTATACACATATGTTAGATGTGTG